TGGAAAAACGGCGCCTGAGAGGGGACATGGGAACATTATACAAATATATTGGGGGCCACTACAAACCCTTATCTGGAAATCTATTCATAAACAGGGCTATACATAGGACACGAGGTCACACATTTAGGCTGGAAGAAAGGAGATTTCATCTAAGGCAAAGAAAAGGATATGGAATTCTCTGCCTGAAGAGGTGGTTTTGTTAGAGTCCTTACAGATGTTTAAACTGCAATTGGATAAATACTTGCAAAAACATAACATACAGGGATATAATTTCTAATTAGTGGGGTAATAGCGGCTTGATCCAAGGAGACATCTGACTGCTATTTTGGGGTCAAGAAGGATTTTTTCCAAGTTTGTGGCAAAATTGGAAGCGCTTGAGACTAGGTTTTTTGCCTTCTTTTGGATCAACAGCAAAAACATATGTGAGGAAAGCTGAACTTGATGGACGCAAGTCTCTTTTTAGCTATGTAACTATGTAACTTACAGAAGCAATTAAACATTTTTACCTTACTAACCCTAAACTTCCAAAATCCAACCTTCACTCACCAATACCATTACCCAATACATTCATACAGTTTTCTAAATACCCTGTTACCATAAAATTAACCTCTCTCAAACAATTACCATTTAACTAGCAGCAGCTGCTGCAACCTTTTAACAGAAAAATAGGGCCCTGTAATATTGAGGATGCTGGGAGGAAGTGAGTGCAGGTAACCTTCTTCCAGCTACAGAGAGAGCCTGTGCGAGGAGTCATAGAGGAACCTGCTCAAGAGAGGAATTAGATAGATGTCTCCAGACCGACACTCCTATTGACCTCATCCAGCAGCAGGACCCCAGGGAATCCACCCTCCTACACAGAAAATGTATGCTAAAGGGACACTATGGGTCAGGAACACAAACATGTATTCTTGACCCTATACTGGTAAGAACACTCATCTTATTTCGAGCGCTGTGCGGTCTGCCAGTGCTGACCCCATCCCCAATCCTCCTCTTTGGCTGACATAATCATAATGGATGATCTCCCATAGGAAAACAACGGATTGGCTGACATTGTCAATTCTCATCGCCAAGGAGGCAGGGTGGGTCAAGCCATTCAGGATCTCCTCATAGAGATGAATTGTACCTATGGAGAAAGTTGAGCATCTCCATGCAGCACTGATCATGGAAGCACTTTAGTATCTGAGTGACTGCCACTGTAAATGTACCTAGGCAGTAATGTAAACAATGCATTTTCTCACAAAAGGCAGTGTTTACAGCAAAAAGCCTGCACGCACAGGTTATAGACCCTACATTAAGCTGTTGTTCTGGTGACTGTAGTGTCACTTTCAATGGAAGGAGGCTAAAAATATAAAATAATGGCATGTATATGTGTATGTATGTGTCAGTGTGTGTATATGTGTGTCAGTGTGTATATGTTTGTATCTGTGTGTCAGTGTGTGTGTATGTGTCAGTGTGTACATCTTTGTGTGTCAATGGGTCTTGGGTGCTACCTTTACTTGAAGGAGTTAATCAGTTAAATGGTTTAACCCCAATGTTTTCAAGTCAGTGCCTTTTGCACTTTGTACTGCAAAGGCAGTACAAAGAGGCTGGTCGTCTCTGATAGGCTCCATACGACAGCTGACACTCTCAGCCTATCAGTAGCTACCCATTGAGGAAAGAGTTTGAAAAATAATTAATTTGTATTCCTGATCTTTTATTCTCACGCAATGAATATTTGGATTATCTCTGATGGATTGTAGTAAGGGTTCCAGAGCAAGTATATGGAGTATAGGGGATAGTAGGCTGCCTTGTTTAGTACCATTGGAGATGATTATTTGATGGTTCATTACTGATGGTTTGGAGTATATCTGTCAGGGTCTTACCTAAGTTGGGAGTCTGTAGCACAAATATGATGCTCACCCTTGCAAATAGCCACAGGCCAAGGTGGTCAGGTAAGAATTCACCTGGCCTGTGGATCTGTGCACGGGGCTGTGCAGGATGAAGTTCCAAAACACAGCACAGGCAAGGACTCAAACAGCAGGATAGTCAAGGGATAGCCGAGATCAAAGGATGCCAGAGGACAGGAACAATGAGGAATAGCCGGAGTCAAGGGTTGCCAGAGGTCAGAGTAAATGATGCCAGGAGCCGGGGTCTATATGAAGCAGTGAATCAATAGACAGGAACACTGGTACGGAACACACACAACAGGATCAATAGAACTGAAATAGCATGTTAGAAACAAAGCTACTGTGGCTCAAAGGTAGGAAGCAGGACCAGAACCACCAAGTACCTAGGTTCAAATCTTGATACGATCGCTGATATGAGCGTTATGAATTAATTTGGAAAACTAAATTTTTGCAGGACTGCAATGAGAAAAGGCCAGTTCAATCTATTAAAAGCTTTTTCTACATTGAGTGAGAGAAAGACACTCTGGGCCATCCCCTCCCCACAGCCCATGCATGAGGTCCCGGACTTTCCTGGTGCAATCAGCTCCCTGTTTGCCCCTCACAAACCCCACCTGGTCTGCATGTATTTTTGTGGAGATAATGGATGATAGTCTAGAGGTGTATATTTTTGCTAGGAGGTTGACATCTGTGTTCAAAAGTGAGATGAGTCTTAGGTTTTGACACCTGTTGGGGGGGCTCGCAGTGTAGCGAAATGCACTAGTAAAATTTTTGGCCTAATGTTTCCCAATTCAAAAATGTGGTTGAAGACTTGTTCTAGTATCAGGAAGAGAACTGTGCTGAATTGCTTGTAATATTAATTGGTTAATCCATCTGGGCCAGGGGATTTCCCCAATGGGAGTGAGTGTATAGCTTTGTTGATCTCTTGGGATATGATTCTATCTGTAAGCAGGTAAGCAGATCTGGTTGAGGGAGCATAATATGTTGCAAATAGTCGCTTATGTCTTGGTTTGGTGGGCTGGTGCAGGGCAAGTTCATCCTTGAGGTTGTATAAGGCATGGTAGAAGTCTGCCAATTTGTTATTTATGTCTGGTGGATTGTATATCTTGGTCCCTTATGAAGTGTGCAAGTAGGCTATTTTTGAGACATTTTCTGTTGGAAAAGCATAGCCAGTAGTCTCCCTGCTCTGTTCCCTTGTAATTATTGTTTGTTTCAGTTATTGGAGAGTGTAAGTGGTCTTGCAGAAAAGCAGTTCATTGATCCGTGTATTTATGTCAATTATAGTTTGTAACTAGTGTTCTGATGGTTGGAAAAGCTGAGCATTTGTGGTGTTCCTTAAGGTGCGTAATAGGAAAAGGTATTCCTGTCTTGACTTATGGTGCAAGTAGGCCGCCCTGATAATGAAGAGGCCCCTACTTACTCATTTGTGTGCTTGCCATAGCATTAGCGGCATTGTGTCTGGGGTGTCATTAAGTTTGAAATATGAGAGCATATCATCGGTAAGTTGGGTTACAAAAGTGGGATTGTGTAAGAGGGGGTAATTTAAGAACCTGGGGGCTTTGCCTCCGTGTTGGCATTGGTCTTTTGTTGTCAATGTGACTGGCGTATGGTCTGACCACACTATTTATCCTAATTTGCAATCTAGGAACTGAGGTATTAGGTCTCCTGAGGAAATAGTCTTTTCTGGGGTGTGTCTTCTGTACTGGGGAGTAGTATGAGAACTATTAATTGTTAGGAGTGATCGTCCTGCATCCATCATATTTTCATGTAGTAATTTTACTCTTAAAATGTTTACATGGTGTGTTCAATAAAAACATGGCAACATTTCATTCTTTGTGTGTTATTAGTTTAAGCAGACTTTGATTGTCTATTGTTGTGACTTAGATGATAATCAGATCACATTTTATGACCAATTTGTGCAGAAATCCATTTCATTCCAAAGGGTTCACATACTTTTTCTTGCAACTGTATATGGTGACAGCGCATTGCCACTGACAGTGATGTTAAATTGGGGAGGGGAGAGGACAGAAAGGAGAGGTTTAATTTGTTGCGTCTGAGCTACTATAGGCTGTTTTTTTTCCCTTTCTTGTTTGCTAGTATAAAATACAGTATCTACTGAGATGAATGGGCTTGCCATTGGTAGGTGCGGCAGTTGATACATCTGTCATAGCTAGTTATAATAGAAGTGGCACATTATATTTATCATATTTATGTAACTCCTATGAAGTTTGATTAACCTGCACAGTGTGTATGCTAATATGTGGCGTGGCGACAGTACCAAGTGTTGTTACCATTTTTCTTGCCATGGGCTGGGTAAATAAACTAAAGAGGTTTGCCTTCCTGGGTCTGAATGTTTTAACTTTTTTTATTTCTCGGATCAACTTTAGAGATAACATACTAACTTATGAAGTGTATAAGCTTGTCATTGACAGGGTGGTTAACTGTTTTGTCACCTTACAATAAATGTGTAAAGCCTTCCAGTGTTTTGGGTCAATTTCTAACTATGCAAAGTAACATCTAACTATGCAAAGTAACATCATCAGGGAATATCAGAGTGGGGTGTTATGGAGATCCCGCCATGGCAACCCAATGTATGATAGCAACATACAAACAATCTGAGAAGAGAGGGGGAGATTACCATTATATGGGTATTTCTATTAACCCATTGTGCATAGTTCTAGTATCAGATACTTGCGGTGGTAGGCACAAGCTTGGGGGTGAGTCCAGGTAGGCCACACGGGTCAGTTGGCCACTGCTCGCCACTCTGGTGATAGTCTGTTTCTCATCTTGGGTGTCACTGGGTGTGTAGTTGGGATGCCCCATTCTTGGAGTCGTTTCAGGCCATCTTCTGAGGTCATTATGACCTTTACATGTCCTTGGTAATGTACCAGTAATTTTGAGGGGTATCCCCAGCAATATTGCATTCCATTTATCTGCAAGACCTTGATAACCTGGTAGAAATACTTCCTGCATCTCAGTGTTGCTGCCGACAGATCTGCAAATATTTTGCCTACGGCATTATCTGCTAGGTTGCGGGTGGGGCATAGGATCAAGTCTTTCACATGAAAATAGTGAGCTCTGAGGACTATGTCTCGCTGCACCGAATCAGGTAAGTGCCTCGGCTTGGGGACTCTATGTACCCTGTCCACCAGAAGCATATCCACCAGTATCACTGGAGCATACGCGTGGAGGAGGCCGCAAACATAGAGAGGGAGGTCAGCAGACAGCACAGTTTCAGGTACTCCCCTTAGGTGGGGTTGTTCCTGTGTGTGATCTTCTGCATCCGCCATCCTGGATTTGATGTCTTCTAGTTTGTTTTCCATAGCTTGGACATGTTCTGCCAAGTAACATGTGACATGCGTGTGCCAAGTTCTTGAACATCTTTGCGCAAGTAGTGGACTGTATGTTGCCAGAAGGTGATTAATTTATTTGAGAGGGCTTCAAGAGACTGGGCTATGTAGGCTCTGGTAATGTGCTCCATGGAGCCCTTTCCACTTCCATCTGATGTTGGGCTGTGCACGTCTGAATCCCTGTCGTCATGTTGCATCTCTGCGTGGGTAGCTACAAGCATAGGTAGAGGTTTTTGGGCAAAAACGATAACTTTGGTGCAACATTCTTGTTCCAGAGCGAATATTTAATCTCTTGATGCTGAATATAGAACTTAGTCTGAAGTCTGGCCACACCACTCCCAGAGTGTCCTTTTGACAAGTACATCACTAATTTTCCTCCACTTAATACTAACACAGAGGAAAGTTCCTACTTAGTTACCCAGCAATCTAGTAGTACAGAAAAATATACTTGTATCAAAGGTTTAACCAATTAAGGACCAAACTTCTAGAATAAAAGGGAATCATGACATATCACACATGTCATGTGTCCTTAAGGGGTTAAAACAACATTACAATTATTTTAAAGCCTTGGAAAGAAAACTGGCTAAATTTATATTTTATTACTCACACATTGCATGCATATTGCTGATTTTAATTGTTTTTTGCATTTGGAAGAAACAACATCCATACTGAAACCTTGCTAAAATTGTAATATGTTGAGCCATCATCTCGACCATGTGCTAGTAATACAGATACTTGGTTTTAGCCAAACAACTGTATTAAGATAAACTGACATTAGGTTCACATACAACCATGTTTGTTTCTTCTTGTATTTTGGGAAATTAGATTGACACAATTTGCAGCAGGTTAATTCGAGAATGTATTTATATTTTTAATTACAATCAGGGTTATATACTGAAGTGAGAGTTGTTGGCAATTCAAAGTCAACTTACAACTTTAAAATTTAAGGCCAAGTAGTACGTTTACCTTAAATTTGAGATTCATTTTGAATTCACTTTAAGTAGACAACAATTCTCACTTTAGTAAATAAATGTTTATATGCTAAAAAAATAAATAAATAAAAAATATTTATGATTCTATGCTTATTTTTCATAGGTCAGCCCTTGCAGCAACATGCTTTATGCACTCCAATGTTGCTGCAAGGGTTGATTAAATTGCATTCTATAAATTCACACAGTTGTATATTTTAGGGTAGTAGATGCATGGAATAGCCTTGCAGCTGATGTGGCAAATGTTAACACAGAGAAGGAGTTTAAGCATGTGTGGGATAGGCATAAGGCTATCCTAGATTTAAGATAGGGTCAGGGTCTAGTGAAAGTATTAGGAAAATTGGGAAGACTTGATGGGCCGAATGTTTCTTATCTGCCGTCACATTCAATGTTTCTATCGTTTTACGTTTAACAAATAAATAAATAATTAAATAGATGAAAATATTGTTATTTACCTGGTAACAGAAATCAATGTAAAATGATTTCAATTGCTGTTGGTTGCAGGGAAACATTGTGTGTAGTATGACTGCTATTTATAAAGTGAACATGCATCATCTATTGCTTTAAAAGATAAAATACATTTTAAGCTTTTACGCTATCTTTGGAATTGTGAGAAGTTAATTTAGGCAGCGTCTACTATCAAAATTGCTTCTTATGCCATAAATCTGTTTTCCATGCCATCAAACATATAGGTCATTTTTCAAGATATATATATATATATATATATATATATATATTAGGGAAGCAAGTTTCTTGGGTAAGGAGAGGCTATGTGATTAAAGTTAAATCCTGTTCTGAGTTGAAACTGATGCTATATTGTTATTTTACAATCTTACATATCCTAAAAATGTTCTTTTCTTTCAGAAACAGCTGCCATAGTGTTTGTAGCAGTTGATCGTACCCCTCCTAAAAGTATAATGACTTATTTGCCTCTTTACGTATCATTAAACAGAGAAAGGAGAAATTTTAGGGTCTTCTAATATGTGATTTTTTTGTGATAAGCTTAATTCTAATTATTCATCAAGCCAGGTGTCAGACATAATTTAATTCTCAAATTCTTCAATTGAGGTTGTCACCAAGTTCAAAGCAATTAAGCAATTTGATTTATGGCAAAGTGTCAATAAATAACAATGAGATGTAAACCTATAACAATTCATTAATAAAATATGCAGTAATAATACCTATAACCATGTAATGTCTCATATATGCATTATTAGGGTTAGCAGTCAATAAAACTTTTCAAGGAAAATCAAAGAGGCACGATTATTTAAAACTGCATGTTTGATTAAATATAATAACATATTTTATGTATTAGAAAAACTAGGAATTAAAATACAGAAAAATCTGTATTCCTAACACAATAGTGCCCTCTGGTCCCAGCCTTCCCTAACAGCACCCTCTGGCATATGAAAGGTTAGATACCCTTTTATTTACTCACCCGATTCCAGCGTCAACGCCCCTTGGCGTTGGGCCAGTGCTCCGCCTCCACCATCCGATGGGGGCACCTCCTGCTCATACACGGCAAGTTCAGCATGAGAACTTACAGCATCGTTTAAAGGACATAGAATACCTTGGAATCCCAGAAGAGCCTCTAGGGGTTGTCCGATAGTCAGCCACTTGAGGCAGTCCTAGTCCTGTAAGGTTTCTCAAGAAATGCAATGTTTTACATTGCAGGACTAAGTGGGAAAGGGACACTGCACCCAGGCTACTTTAACTTCACTGAATGAGAGACGTAACATTATTTAACTCTTACAAGGGGCTGACAAACTGAAAGTGACTGGGAACACTCTAATATTATATATATATATATATATATATATATATATATATATATATATTAGCAAAAAATATTTTACATTAACCCCTCCTGGGTGGTATCTTTATTCCTCATTCTCAGGTTCTCTACCAGAGGCCTGGGAGTTTGAGGGTTCTGCACAGTATCTTAGCTGTTCCTAGAACTGCACTCTTCTGGACGGCGATCTCAGATGTTCCACCTGGAATCTGTTGAAGCCACTCCCCCAACTTGGGAATGACAGCCCCGAGTGCTCCTGTTACAACTGAGACTACTGTTGCCTTTTATCTTCCCTTTGGAGCTTTGGATTACCAGACGGTGCTGATGGATACATCTTCCCACATCCCATAAGCGGAGATTATACCGCTGTATGCTCTTCACACCAGAGCTGGCCATAGCTCTTTTAAATGTGAGTTCTCTACCTCTTGTTACTTACTGCACTTTTGGACTCTAGACGTACTGCACTATTGGTTGCTTTCTGCCTTTTTTCTGTTTCATATATACAAACTAACACGCTGAGACGTATCCACTCCCATTGAAGAGAATACATCTTATCAAGTTTCCCTGATTATCTACTGCTACACTAGCGAGACCTCCTACCCTTTCCAAGATGATTTTATTCGTATTGGCGCAGCCCTACTCCATCTTTTGTTTGTCCTTTTGTTGTGGTAGTTTTTCTTCTTTTAAATATAGTCTCCTTATTTACTGTGTTGATTTCCTTTATGTATTTAAATGTTTCTATCATATCCCCCCAGTCTCATCTTTCCTCCAAACTATACATGTTAAGATCCGTTAACCTTTTATCCTGTAATCCATGAACCAGTTTAGTAGCCCTTCTCTGAACTTCCTCTAAGGTATCAATATCCTTCTGGAGATATGGTCTGCGTACAATACTCCAAGTGAGGTCTCACCAGTGTTCTGAACTTCCTCCAAGGTATTAATATCCTTCTGGAGTTTTGGTCTGCGTACAATACTTCAAGTGAGGTCTCACCAGTGTTCTGTACCATGGCATGAGCATTTCCCTCTTTCTACCGCTAATACCTCTCCCTATACAACCAAGCATTCTGCTAGCATTTCCTGCTGCTCTATTACACTGTCTGCCACTTTTAAGTCATCTGAAATAATCACCCCTAAATCCCTTTCCTCAAATGTTGAGGTTAGGACTCTATCAAATATTCTATACTCTGCTCTTGGGGTTTTATGTCTGAGATGCATTATCTTGCACTTATACACACATTAAATTTCAGTTGCCACAGCTCTGACCATTTTTCTAGTTTACCTAAATAATTTGCCATTTGGCTTATCCCTCCTCGAACATCAACCCTGTTACATATTTTTGTATCAAACAGACATTTTTGAGCAAAAAGACATACCTTACCATCAAGACCTTCTACTATATCACTAATAAAAATATTAAAAAGAATGGGTCCAAGTACAGATCCCTGAAGTAACCCAATGGTAACAAGACCTTGCTTTGAATATACTCCATTGACTACAACCCTCTGTTGCCTATCACCCAGCCACTGGCTATCCCATTTAACGATATTGGAACCCAAACTTAAACATTGCAGTTTATTGATAAGCCTTCTATGTGAGACAGTGTCAAAAACCTTACTGAAATCTAGGTAAGCAATGTCTACTACACCACCCTGATCTATTATTTTAGTTACCCAATAAAAAAAATCAATACGATTAGTTTGGCATGACCTCCCTGAAGTAAACTCATGTTGTATCTGATCTTGAAATCCATGTGATTTTAGATGTTCAAGAATCCTATCCTTTAACATGGTTTCCATTACTTTTGCCACTACTGAAGTAAGGCTTCCTGGCCTATAATTGCCCAACTCCTGCATACTAGACTTGGGCATTCGTATGAATGGATTTTCATACAAAAATCTAAATTTTTGTCCATTCGTATGAATACCGAATAATGAAAGGCTAGACAAATGAATGAATGAAAAAACAAATGGGCATCCAACAAAATTCTTCCATGAGCCTTTTGTTTGTTCATTCATTCAGCTTTTTGTATTATACTGTCTGTATAATTCAAAAAAGCCAAACTAGTAACCAAATGAACGAATTACAATATATTCATTCTTTCATTTGTTAGTTCTGTTTACTCCCATCAAATCTGATGCGATTGAGCCAAACTAACGAAAGCGTACAAATAAATGTGCCTTTCATTCATTCGTATCACTAGTTTGGCTTTTTGAATTACAGACAGGCAGTGTACTGTCTGCAAAGTATATGTGTAATACGTATTGCAATGCAAACTGACGAACCAGAAATACGAATGCACGGATGAAATAATAATGTGAGTGAGCCGAACAACGTTTGCACAACGAACAAACAAATCATTTGTACATTCGTATCAACTGTTCGTGCTTTTTCAATGCTTTGCTTTAGCGTATGGGGATGGTAGAAACAAATGAATGAATGAACTAATTTGCCTCAATTCGTGTATTCGTTCATTCGGATGCCTTGTATGAACCAAAGAGGAGGGGTATGGGAGTGAGCTAATTTTAATTTATCCAATCAGCTCACTTATGTAACATGATGCTGTAGGGGCTTATCCAGTGGTACGTGCTGTATTTTAGATGGTTTAGGGAGTGAGCTGATTTATATTTTTTTAATCAGCACACTTCTAAGACATGATGCTGTAGAGGCTTATCCATTTGTGAGTGCTTTAGTGGGGATTTAAAAAATAGCCAAACAGTATAAAAGCAGGCAGGGGATCTTTCTCTGCCTTTCATTGACTGAGTTTTGATGGAGAAACACTGTGCTTCTGTGCTGTGCTAGCCTCATTACTTGTCTTAGAGATTTTCTGTGAGTCTTGGTGTGCCTGTCATTTCTCACTTGTTAAATTTCTATGCTTTCTAAAAGCTGTGAAATGCTGTGCTGTGACTGAGTCAGTTTACCACATGGTGCCTGGCTGGCACTGCCGGTGCCTGCCTTCCCTGCTTGCTTACTGCCTACAGCAACCAGAACTTATTTTTTATAACAAGGCAACTTTTTTATTTAATCAAAATTAATTAGCTTAAATTGATTTAGATTTAGAGTAAAGGTAGAATCAATCAAGTACTTTAGCTTAGTGAGCTTAACTTAGTGGGCCTGATGGCTTCTGCCCTAGGAGTAGACTAGTTTGTTAGCCTAGAAGAAAATAAATATAGTTTAGCTGTTAAGTCTTTTTAGCAGCAAAGCCACATTAGTTGATTTTTGTTAGACATTGATCTCACAGAGGTGCTGCTGATGCTGCAGTGCTGTTTCATTCTGAGTGCTGATAGAGAAAGTTAATTTTCTGTCAGTCTCAGCTAAGTGTGTTTGACTGGGTTTGAATTTTTTTTAAAGTGACTCTTTACTCCAGTCCACAGAAAGTTAGATTAATCAGTGCTCGTAAAACAACTACTAGAACAGAGTCACGGTAACTGACCAACTGAATTTTGTGTCACTCACTCACTGACTGTGTATGCTTGCTTTGCTGACAGTCAGCGTAAAAGATAAGTAATATTTTTTTAATTAAGTTAATAGAATTATCTTCAGTTTTAATTAAAACATTTTTATTAAGGCAGATGTGGTTCCTATATTCAAAAAGGGTTCAAAATCCTTGCCTGGAAATTAAAGACCTGTGAGCTTAACTTCTGTGGCTGGGAAAATATTTGAAAGGTTATTAAGGGATAATATTCAAGAATTCCTTGAGAAGAACATGGTTATCAGCAAAAATCAGCACGGTTTATGAAGCACAGGTCATGTCAAACTAACCTGATTGCGTTCTACGAAGAAGTAAATAGAAGTATACATCAGGGTGTTGCTGTGGATGTGATCTATTTGGATTTTGCCAAGGCATTTGATACAGTTCCACACAATAAATTAGTGTTCAAACTCAAGGAAATCGGTCTAGATGAAAATGCTTGTTCTTGGGTAGAATATTGGCTTAAAAACAGAGTACAAAGAGTTGTCATTAATGGTAAATTTTCAAGCTGGACAGAGGTGGCAAGTGATGTCCCTCAGGGGTCTGTTCTGGGACCCCTTCTATTTAACATGTTTATAAATGATCTTGAAGCATTGAAAGTCATGTTTCAGTGTTTCCAGATGACACAAAACTTTGTAAAATAATACAATGTGAGCAAGATATTACTTTGCTGCAGAGGAATTTAGATAGACTGGGGGACTGGGCACTCAAATGGCAGATGAAATTTAATGTTGTAAAATGCAAAGTTATGCACTTTGGCGTAAAGAGTACACAAGCAACGTATACCCTTGATGGAAGCAAATTAGGGATAACAAAACACGAAAAGGACTTGGGAATTGTTATAGACAACAAACTATGCAACAATGTCAATCAGCAGTGGCCAAGGCCAGTAAGGTATTGTCATGCATGAAAAAGGGCATTCATTCTCGGGACGAGAATATCATATTGCCTCTTTATAAATCACTGGTAAGACCACATATTGAATATGCTGTGCAATTTTGGGCACCTGTTCTAAAGAAGGATATTATGGCACTTGAAAAAGTGCAGAGGCGGGCTACAAAATTAATAAAAGGAATGGAACATATCAGCTATGAAGAAAGGTTAACATATTTAAGCCTATTTAGTTTAGAAAAACGTCGCCTGAGAGGGGATATGATAACATTATACAAATATATTCGGGGCCAATACAAACCATTGTGTGGAAATCTATTCACAAACCGGACTTTACATAGGACACGAGGCCATGCGTTTAGTCTGGAAGAAAGAAGATTTCGTCTAAGGCAAAGGAAAGGTTTTTTTACTTTAAGAACAATCAGGATGTGGAATTCTCTGCCTGAGGAAGTGGTTTTATCAGAGTCCATACAGATGTTCAAACAGCTACTAGATGCATACTTCCAAAAACAGAATATTCAAGGATATAATCTTTCAATGTAGGGTAATAACTGCTTGATCCAAGGATAAATGTGACTGCCATTCTGGGGTCAAGAAGGAATTTTTTTCCTAGCTTGTTGCAAAATTGTGCTTCAAACTGGGTTTTTGTGCCTTCTTTTGGATCAACAGCATAAAAGAAATGTGAGGAAGGCTGAACTTGATGGACGCAAGTCTCTTTTCAGCTATGTAACTATGTAACTATATAATAAGTTGATAGAATTATCTTCAGTTTAAAATATATAATATTACTTGTAGTACAGTTTTTTTGTGCTTTGTTAGAACAGAACACACTAGTCAGTCAGTCTATTTTTTTGTTTTCACTTTTTCACACTTTTAGTGTCTTTTTGTGCTCACTTCAGCATCAGCAGTGAAGTTAATTGTTCTGACTGCTGTTGTGAAGAAATTACTTTTCTTTAACTGATTATTAATTCAGTTAGTGTGTTTGTTTAACAGCAATCAGTGAAGCTAAATGGTTGCTGTTTTTATTTTAGTTCCTGATAGATTGACTGTGTAACTGTCCCAAGCTAAGCTTCAAGGTAGCTGTAGTACAACTTTTATTATTTTTAGTACTAGCAGATGTTGTAGGTTCTTTCTAATTTAAATAATGCTAATCTAAATTCTAGTTAACCCATTTTTTTTAAAAACACATTTTTTTATTTTTAACTGTGTTGATCTATATATCAGTATAGTTTAAAACTTCAAATAATAAGTTTTCATAAAAATATAAACTTTAGTTTCAAAACACTACATTACATTATTTCCTTATTTTCTTCAACTTCTTATCTTTTCTTACTATTTTAAAATTCTGAATGGATCCTCCTAAATCCATCCACTAGTAAAGTGAGGGTAAGTCAGTCAGCCACCACCACCACCACCAATACCACCAACGCCACCACCACAAGTAGTGGTAGTTTGAGTAAGCAGCCTATGCATCAGCTTAATGTCAGACTCACCGCTTAGAGGCCAAAGTCTTTGTCTCGCATTTCAGGCCCATTTCATGCACTGAAAACCAATTAATCCGTTCGAGAGGTCAGAAAAAAGTCAAAATGAGCTGGCATGGAAACCAACCCACAATGCAGAACACACAATAAAAGGCATGCAAACAACAAAGCTCATGAAGTGGTACTTTAATCCATTTAAAAGTTTACATTCATCTGATCGACATTTCGACCCACTCGGGTCTTCCACAAGAGTGTGTGTGTGTGTGTGTATGTGTGTATATATATATATATATATATATATATATATATACATACATACATACACACACACACACACACACACACACACATATATCATTAAAGAAGAGAGGAGTCAGAAGTGGTAATCAAATAATTTGTTAATTTTAAAAGCAAGTGATAGAAGCAAAGAAGCAGAGGTAGCCCAGGTTGTTAGGAGCAGTCCTGGGAGGATATAGTGCAGAGGAAAATAAACAAATGTATTTTCAGGGAAAGGATAGGAAGAACCAGAAGAAAATTAAGAGAATCTAACAACCTATGATTAACAGCATCAGTTATGTTCATATTGTGGATGATAATGAGGAATAAACATCTGAGTGCATTCTACCCGCAGATATTTATTCATCATCATCATTCCTTCTGGGAAGACCATGCACAAATCGTTCACAAAATAGGTTATCTACATCAGCAATGGTTATGCCCAAATTATGGACAGCTTGGGCGCTCATTAGAATGCACTCTTCCTCCCTCCTTTCCATAAAGTGCTGCATATTTTGCTCAAAATATCCCTATCCTGCTGTATGGACATCTCCAGTTCATCTTTGCGAGCCTGGATAGTCTCATACAGCGCAGCCAACTGTGGAGGAAGTTGTGGCAATGGCATTTCTTCAGCCACTGATGTCACTGAACCAGGATCCACTGCTATAAGGGTAATGGTGCCCACCTCTGGCAGTTGGAGAGCACCATCAGAACCTATAGGGGAGAACAGAGCAAGAACATTGTTAGCATGTGTCATATGTTGCAGTGCTAACTATTATCTGTACAACAATATTATAAACTTGGAAATAAGATATATGCAGTAATGCTATTACTTTATGTCCAAGTATATTTATGCGTCTTTGCTCCCCCACACCTTTTCTCTGCCTCTTTGTGACCCCTCAACGCATTTCTTTGTGCCCACCTCCCTTTCCTTCTAATCTTACTACATGTATTGTGGACAAGCGTCCCCAGGCAGAGAATCTCCTGTATCTTCTGCATGACAGGAAGCTGATTGTTGCACTCAGCTTCCTGTCAGGCCAAGTAGAGGGTACAGAAGATCATACACCCACGGTCCACTCAGTCACAGTACTTAAAGTGAACAGAAGGAGAGGAGTGATGTGCGCTCCCCCCCACCCCTGCTGGTCACCCAGACATTGAGCCCCCTGGCCAGGGCACCCTAGGCAAACGCTTAGTATGCGACCCAGCCCTGCCTGTTACATAAACTAGTATGCCTGGAAAGAAAATGTGTACAGTTATATGACAAAGCTCATTTTACTTACGCTCAGCAGTGGATCCCTGTTCCTGGACACCTATGGCTGGCTGTTTGAGGGAAACCTCAGTCAGACATGGTGAAGAACGCTCGACAATTTGTGGATGGTCTGAAATACATGTATGTGATAAATTAACTTCATATACAGTGCAGTACAGTTTACATGCACACACACACATATATACATATATATACATACATACATACAACATATATCTAACAATGCTATGCAAAGACTTACAAGAGGAAAGTGAAGCCAGGCGCATCTCCAGGGAGAAAACTAAAAAAGGTGAAAGGGGAGGTGGCGCCACAGGTGAAATAAAATATAAATAAACCTGATTATAAACTATACAACTATACAAGCACATATACAAGACACTATATAAGAGAAAATACTTTAATAAAATACAGCAATTAAAATACCACAACGGAATGACCAGTAGATGCCTAAAAATTAGACTGGCAGAGCACTGTCGGAACATCATCAAAGGTTACCCTAACCACTCGGTTTCAAAGCACTTTATTAAACATGATAAAAACCCCAAACATCTAAAATGTATTGGAATTCAAAAATGTAAAATACCGTGGAGGGGAGGTGATTTAAAAAAAACTTTTGGGTCAGGAAGAAATGTATTGGGTGTTCCAGTTAAAAACGCTTGCCCCTGAAGATTTAAACGTTGATTTTGATCTTTTTAACTTTTTATAAATCTGCATATTCTGTTTTGTTTTTAATATGATACAAGTATAATAATGTTATTTTATTTTAGTCTTACCCTATATTTACTTATGTTCTTTTTATATCTTCATATATACTTTTCTGTGACATCTGCAATTTACTGTGACCATTTTATATCTATATTTATTATAATTTTCTATTATCATATTTTAAAATGTATGCCAAAAAACTCCTTGTCTGATTAACCATATTTGCACTTGCTACTTGTCGCATATATGTTTTAATCATTCATTCCCTTCCTCCACTTTTTTCATTGCCCTCCCTAATATGGCTGAAACATGTTCTACAATAAAGTTACACAAAAAGAAAAAAAAGAAAAAGTCACATGACCTAAAAAGTCACATGACCTAATTTTTGGCGCCAAAATTAAGTAATCTGAGGCCTATATAAAGCCAATGTTGTCAGATACATGTTTTTATCCACTTGAGAAAGCCCTAAGGGGATAAATGCGTTGTGGTATTTTAATTGCTGTATTTTATTAAAGGTATTTTGGCCACTTTCAACTTGTGAGTCAGCCATTTTACTCTTTTATTTATTTTTACCTGGCACCAGAGTTTTTATTGTTCCAGTGAGAATTTTACTCCAAAGAATCCTTGGTGGGGATTATACCACTCAAGCTTTATCCATTGAGCAGTCTGCCTGCTCAATAAAATGTGAGTAACCACTTGGTATTTTATTACTTCACCTCTGGCTTTTATACAATAAGCACTATTATTGTTTCTTTTACATTTCATATGGTCCTTATACCAACAAGATATCCATCAACTACAAAACTTCACGTATCCCATAAGTGGGGATTGTACCACTGTATGTCATCCACACTAGAGCTAGTCTTACAGCTCTGGAAAACGTGAGTAGAACCATATAGACCTCTAAAAACAATACTTAGTACCTGTTGGGATATACTGCACCATTATTTGCAATCTTTTCATTTTTTTCATATGGATTTCACAAATATCCCATGTCCATACGTTACTGAGGAATACTTCCCCTGACAAGATTGTGACTGATTTCTTATACAAGGTTTTATTTGGACTTTTTTCTTTGCTGCATTTATTAGGCATAGACTCTTTTGGATTTAATCTTTGGACTCTTGATTATTATCCATATTTCAAGCTCTTTTTTATCTTGTATGTATTTTCTCTTATATAGTTTCTTGTATATGTGCTTGTATAGTTTATAGTCATATAAAATGTAACATGTGGAGAGACACTTAGTATAATAATCACCACAATTAAGGGTGCTATTCCAACAAGGTACTCCCTCCAATACCAATAAACTAAATACTCAAAAAGAAAGGAATGCACACCAACTGATACAATAGTATCTATCTATATATATTTATTGCAATACAAATCCGAATCATACATGCAAGAAATGCAACAATATAACAGTGACCAAATAGGCAAAAAAAGGCTGAACCATATATTTACCAAATTTCACAAGCCTATATGGGCAGAAACACTATATGGGCAAGCCTTTATCATAGCTACCCTTGATAAAGGCTACCAGGAGGAGCCGAAACGTTGGGGGACTGTTTGTGACTCGTGTTTCTGCCCATATAGGCTTGTGAAATTTGGTAAATATATGGTTCAGCCTTTTTTTGCCTATTTGGTCACTGTTATATTGTTGCATTTCTTGCATGTATGATTCGGATTTGTATTGCAATAAATATATATAGATAGATACTATTGTATCAGTTGGTGTGCATTCCTTTCTTTTTGAGTACTTGTATAGTTTATAATCAGGTTTATTTATTTATTTATATCTTATTTCACCTGTGGCGCCGCCTCCCCTTTCACCTTTTTTAGTTTTGTCTACTCTATAGGGCCTGTGAGGGAGCCCTATTTTCAGGTGTGCTGCCTTACATTTATCTCTGTAAGATCTAGTATATTAGCGCTGATCGTTTGTACATATTCTTACTGTCTGGCATCTCCAGGGAGACAGGGGGTGAACCTGCTGCCCTACTCTCTGTGGAGACAGCATCTCCTGCAGTTCCTGATGACTCTTCCTGAGATTGAGAGGCTTGAACTGATGGTATAGAAAACACAAATTGGAGGGTTAACACATGAAAACTGATATGTGTACATTTTGACTAACAAATGTAAATTTAACAACATACCTTCAGATGTTTCAGTGACAGTTGCTCCCCCTACAAGGCTGTCTCTTCCCAGGAACTACAGGAGTTCCTCTTCATAGGGCAGCAGGTCCAGTTCTTGTTGTTGTGAACTGCCTCCTGTCTTTCTGGAGGCTGCTGCAGCCTTGTTCACCTTCGTCTTCACCATCCGCCTGATGTCGTAGTAACTGCAATGACATGTGTAATTGATTATATGTCATATATTTACTGACATGTTTAAAGGGACACTAAAGGCACCCAGACTATTTCAATTTATTGAATGGAGTCATTGAATGGAGCAACTGCAATAATTACCTTTATGTGTTAACTAACTCCATTCTCTAATGACTGTTTACCAGACGGTCACTAGAGGGACTTCTGGGTTGTTAGGCAACTTTTCGTCACCCCTCCATATCCCCATCCCATGTTTATCACCCCCATTTATCACCCCCATTTCTCTTATTTAACACCATATTCGCCTACACTGTGTATGTTCCCACACAGTGAAAGCTGTGGTATAGAAATCTAAAAGATGTGCCATGCGCATGTGCAGTACACCCATCATATTTCTATATATGATGGAGGGGCTGCGCACATGAGTGGTACACCCTTCAGATTAAAGGCCCAGCTGATCAAGCATCAGAGGCGGTGCACATGCTCGTGGTACCTCCACCAGAATTCTATACCATGAGGCCTGCTAGCGTGCATGCGCGCAGCTGATCTCATATCCCTTCCGGAGATGTGGGGGCACCGGAAGTGTCATAGGTATAGAAATCAGATAGATCTAGATTTCTGATAGAACAGCTGCATTTTGCAACATGATGGCCTCCAATGCTTTCCCATGGGAAAGCATTGGATTGGCTGATTTAGTCAATTATGAAGATCGCAGCCAAGGAGGCAGAGTGTGGGCAGAGCCAGCTGTGATGGACCCCCACAGCTCTGCTATAAGAATGAG